GATGCTCTTATCTGCGTCCACACGAACCTGCTCGAATCTTCGCCTGCGCCTCCACTTGCGTTAAGTTGACACGCGTGAGTGCAGCTGTGAGAGCCTCCGCCGCCTTCGCGCGGAATTGGTCGTACTCGCGTTCGCGCGTTCTTATATCCTGTAGCAGCGATTCGCGAACTTTTTTCTTCTCGCTCTCGATAATGGCTACTAGCTGGTCGGCGCCTCTCATGAGTGCAGGAGATGGGGTTGAAGGCGGTTGCTCGAGACGCGTCGCATTGTGGGGCTTGAAAGCGCGTCGATGACATGACAACCAAGGCGAATGTTGCAACTCACGGGTGGACCAGGCACGTTTTGATTCATTGTATGTGTAGGCGTGAAGCAGGAGGCGGAGAGTCGGAGACAACCTGCCTGCCTGTACTGTGATGGAGACGTGATGAAGACGCGCCGCGCTTCGCGGGAAGCGGCGCGTGATCAGACTGAGACTGCATGCAAATGCGCGGACTTGCCGTCGTCTTGATTCGAGATCTACCGCAAGATATAGTTGAACGCCCCATCGTGTAGGCCTTAGGACAAAAGTTTCCTATCACTCAAGTTCAGAAGAGGAAACAATAATATTGCATATCTAGTACACGAATGCATAGGTGCAGGGCTACAAACAGTTGACACATCGTAGTCGAAGATCATGCAGTCAGTGAGCGCAATGCTGTGAATAGTGGAGCGTGCCGCCATGCACAAGTGTGAACGCTGTAGATTCGCCTTTGTATTGCCGAATAGGAAGGCCAACGAACCGAACAGATAAAGTGGGAAGTTGATGGAGTGATCGTGAGTCCAAGGGAGGGCGCATCGAGACAAGCGTAAAGAAGGAGCGACGTAGAGAGGCGAATAGAACCTGTCGATAGCATTAGTCTTGATAAATGACTTGGAGGGCACGGAAGACACAGACCAGAGAAACAAGACCCAAGGACGACTCACGAGGCGCGGAGGTCTGGTGCTCGAAAGTGAATGGAGACAGGCTAGAGAGGAGAATCACAACCCGCTAGCCTCTGTGTGAGTCAACACTCAGAATGAAGAGACCACCGCACGCACCGAAGAACTGGTGGCGTAGATGAGGAGACCACGAATAAAGATGAGAGAACCAAACGAATACTGTTGTTGATGTCTATTTAGATGTGGGAAGACGAGGAAGAAACGGCTCACCAAAAAAGTGAAGCCTCGCGCGGAGACCCAAGAGGCAGCAGACGAGAGGAAATATAAGACGGCCCAAGACAGACGGAATAAGAGGCGGCAATAGTCGCAGGCAGGCGGCGGCGGCAGACAAGACCAGATGCGCATCCTAGGAGCTGACCCAAGACAGACGATGTAGACTAGACCCAGACTTGTGGTTGCCCTGCGTGGCGTCCAAGGACGAAGAATAGCGGGAAGGTCCCAGACAGTGACATGATACGAAGCCAGATAAATCAGACAGTAACCAGGAGATTACAGAGACAAGGTCAGAGGAGACACGAGACAAATCCAGATAGATAGACAGAATATAGAAACTTCTTGATCGTCGTCGTCCTCATGAGCGGAGTAACCAAGAACCTAGTCGTCAGGGTCAGGCCCGAAGAGCGACTCCAGATCGTCATCGTCAGCAGCAGCAGCGGGCTTCTCCGGTACATTAGCTTCAGACGATCGGTCCTCGCCAGCATCATCGCCAAACAGTTCTTTCCAGTCTGGCTCTTCTGGCTCTTCAGTCACTGCTTGCCATGGAGGCGGAGGCGGCGTCGGTGGTTGCGACGATGCCAGACTACTTCCAGCAGGCGGATCGCATGGCGGCAGAAAAGGGGGAAGACACCATGGAGGTAACGGAGGCACAACTTGGATCTGACCTGCGTGCGCTTGCGGACCACAACCCGGAAGGACAGGAGTACGAGGGCCAACCATCACGTCGTGGAGAACAGCAGGAGCATCCATGGCGACGTCGACGATTGGCGCTACGAGAATGTCGACAGTCAGCATCGCTCCCAGAGGCACGTCCATGTCCACGTCGACAGGATCATCTTTCAGCACCTCGTCAACATCCATCACTGCCTCAGAGATTACTAGCGCCTCCAGTGCGCTTGTGATCGCCTTCACGTCCACACATTCCCGACAAGGAGACATCCCTCCATCACGTCCGTCAAAGATGTCGTTCCAACAGTCAATCGCGGCACGCAGAGGCCCTTCCAATACCGTGTTCTTGGTATCCATAGTTCTGTAAGGAGACGGCTGCGGAATGGCCTCGGCGACAGGGCAGACATCGACTTCCATGACGGTGGGGACGGGCTGTGGAAACAGGATGTCGAAGCCGTCCATCACATCGAGGTCAAAGGGCACCGGGGCAAGAACGGTAGGGATCTGCACAGGAGAGACGTCAAACGCGACAACATCTTCCATAGCCAGCAGCAATACCCACCTCGTCACCACACAGCGTCACTCCTTCGAGCATCATATTGGCGTCCTCCAGGTGACCGTTGAGCTGCTCTGGAAAAGATGGGGTAGCCAAGAGGAACGCATGCAGGCCGTCGAGGGCACATGGCTTGGCGATGCGCGGAATTGGCGATGGACTGACAGGTTCTGCGCAGCG